ACTTATAATAATAACTTGTAACATTTTATGAGCACTTGCTACATACTAGTCATTTTCTGAACATTTTTACATTTATTTTCATCTCATAACCTTATGAAGAAGGTGCTATTATTAACCCCATGTTACAAATTGGAAACCAGGGCACAAGGGGGCTAATTAACTTGTTTATTAGTAGATAGTTTATAGTTATAGTGTTTTCAGGATGTGAACTTGGGCAGTCTGACCTCTTGGATACTCTCAGTTGTTAAACTCTACTGCCTGCTCACAAAAATTAAGTCATGACAGAATCTGTATCGCCACCATACAGGGTAGGATTGTATACTGAGAATTAGGCACCAGTAATCATATGCCATTCACTTGTAGTGTTAACAGCTTAATTACATAATTCTAAGGTGGAAAAGGATAGTCATAACAAGCAGTGTAATCGTGTCACTTTTCTTGGGTCCTGTAATGCATTTCATCATTTATTTCTATAACTGAAGCATAAGCAGTTTAGAACACTTCCTCATCTATAGATGTGAGAATTTCATATCTAGGGGTAGGAAGTAACAGGCAGCTTTTGTTATATGCTAAGTCTCATGATTTAAAAAATGTATTACTGAAATTACTGTATTTCATTGGAAGAAATTCAAATTTAAGTTGTTCATCACTCCAGGTTCTGCATTTATATCTGAAATAGAGTCCTGTTAGTTCACAGCTTCTTCAGGCCACTCATCCACTTGTCCAGATATAACTGATTTGATCTGAGTAGTGTTTATGAGGAGTAGCACTTCCATCATTGACCGATAACCGAAAACTTTTATCTTTAATTGAAAAGATGAACAGACTAATAAAATCCAGAAATGGAAACTGCCAGTGGGCTGAGGCCGTTATACACTGGTGCTTGCTGTGAGACAAGATAACTCCTACTTTGCTTTGGTTTTATTGTTCCTGAAGCCTGTTCATTCCAGGATATGTATGATACTACTCAGTCTGTACTTGCCCTCTACTTTTACTTGCATTCATCTGAAGTAGGTTTGTTCCTTGAAATCTAATGAGTCTTACCGTGTATGTCGTCAGTATTGTGATCACTTTGGAAGTCTAGAGCTGTACTGTCAAATATGGTAGCTATTACCCATATGTTGCCATTTAATTTAAATTAATTTTAATTTTTGTTTTTAATTTAAAAGTTAATTTTAAGGTAAAAGTTAACTTCTTGGGGGGCACCTGAGTGGCTCAGTCAGTTAGGTGTCTGACTCTTGATTTAGGTTCAGATCCTAGTCTTGCAGTTTGTGGTTTTGAGCCCCACTTTGGGCTCTGCACTGACAGTGCGGACCCTACTTGGGATTCTCTCCCTCTTCCCTTGTCTCTCTGCCCCTCCCCTCCTCTCTCTCAAAAATAAATAAACTTTTTAAAAAAGGTTAATTTCTTGGGCCCTGTATTTCCTTAGGGCACTTTTATCATGTGTCTTACATGTCTTAGTTTACTGAAAATGGGCACTGTTTCTTTCTTCTGGAAGTGGCCATATAGCTTAGTGACTAAGTTTGAATCCCAGCTCCTCCACTCACCAGTTGAATGATATTTCCTCTGTGCTTTAGTGTCCTCAAATATGAAAAGATGACAATAGTCCCTCCTTCATAGGATTGTTATGAGGATAATCTGAGTTAATACATGTAAAGTGTTTATAAAACTCCTACCACATATTAGGGGCTCAAAAATATCTTGATGATGATGACAATGATGATGACGGCAACAATAATGGATGATACCTTTGCCACCATGTTGCCTCTTGTCACTGAAGCCATTTGCTGGGCCTAGAGAAATGATCCCCAAATTCATACTGTCAGGTGTGAACTGGCAGTAGGAGATTCTGATTTGTTAGGTCTAGATGGAGACCAGGAATCTGGTTTTTCAGATTACCTCTCCTTTCCTTCAGTATTCCCACCCTGCCATGATTCTAATATGTAGCCAGTTTTAGAAACCACTAGCCCAAAGGTTGGCTTCTAAGGGAACATTACAGGGGTGACTCTTAAAAATGTGATGCTAAGTGAAAGAAGCCAGTCACAAGAGACCACATAATATAATTCCATTTATATGAAATTTCCAGAATACACAAATATAGAGACAGAAAATAGATTAATAGTTGCAGGGGCTGGGATGGGGAGGAAATGGTGAGTGACTGTTCGTGGGTATGGGGTTTCTTTTTGGGGTGATGAAAATGTTCTAAACTGAGATTGTGAGGATGGTTTCACAATTGTGAATATACTAAAATTTCTTGAATTCTACACCTTAAATGAGCATGAGAATTGTATCTCAATAAAGATGTGTTTTTTTTTTAATGGGCAATAAGAAGTGGGATAGGAAAAAAATATTCTTTAGGAGGGAGTAGTTAGGGAAACCAGGGAAAAGGGTACAAACTGGAAGCTTGGAAAGAGGCTTTTTAAAAATCTTTTTTTTCTTTGGGGCTCCTGGGTGGCTCAGTCGGTTAAGCTTTGAGTTTGTCTCAGGTCATGATCTTGCAGTTTGTAGGTCCAGTCCTGCGTTGGGCTCTGTGCTGACAGCCCATGCCATCAGCCCAGAGCCTGGAGCCTGTCGGATTCTGTGTCTCCCTCTCTCTCTGCTCCTCCCCCACTCGTGCTTCTCTCTCTCTCTCTCTCTCTCTCTCTTTCAAAAATAAATAAACACTGGGGCGCCTGGGTGGCGCAGTCGGTTGGGCGTCCGACTTCAGCCAGGTCACGATCTCGCGGTCCGTGAGTTCGAGCCCCGCGTCGGGCTCTGGGCTGATGGCTCAGAGCCTGGAGCCTGTTTCCGATTCTGTGTCTCCCTCTCTCTCTGCCCCTTCCCCGTTCAAGCTCTGTCTCTCTCTGTCCCAAAAATAAATAAACGTTAAAAAAAAAAAATAAATAAATAAATAAACACTAAAAAAAAATTTAGGGGTGCCTGGGTGGCTCAGTCGGTTAAGCATCTGGCTCTTGGTTTCGGCTCAGGTCATGATCTCATGGTTTCGTGAGTTTGAGCCCTGCACTGGGCTCTGTGCTGGCAGCATGGAGCCTGCTTGAGATTCTCTGCCCTTCCTCCACTCTGTCTCTGTCTCTCTCAAATAAAATAAAATAAAACTTAAAAAATAAAACTACTTTATAAAAAATTTTTTTTTAATCTTTTTTTTTCTTTTATTCACAAACACACAATAATCTGATTATCTGAAAGTTAGTCTGGGAACTTGAACTCCTGGAAAACAGCCTTGTAAAGGAAGTAGATTTAAAAGCAAAACAAAGTCTTTGAGTTTAGAAAACACCACTAAAGCCACAGACAGGAATGATTCAAAGATAATGGTGCTGGAGAAAATCCTCAAATCCAACAAAAATAAAGACCAAAAAAACATAGTAAAATATTCAAAAGGAATTTTTTTGTGTGTGAAAAATGAAGCCATACATATATTTGACAAATTTTAGGTTATAATTCCACCTGAGCTAATTCTTAGACTAAATGATCAGTTGATGCTTTTCACCTTTGGAATAGGCATAGCATAGATTTATAGAAAACAAAACAACTTAGGACATAGACTGTAAGAAAGCACAATAAGACATCCTTAATGCTTGACTTTCACAACAAATAATAAGTCAATTTCATAAAAGTAATTAAGGACTTAATCATTTTTCTCTGTGGTCTTAGTCATTTAATATTTAAGTCATTATTTGAAGCACCTATTATCATCCCTGTAGTTTTTTGTTGTTAACTGGTCTGATTCTTCAGATTGTTACTTGTCATTGACTTTGCTTTTCATTGCAGTTATCTTCAGTATCCCCTTTAAAGGTTTCCTGGGAGCCTATTTTCAGATATGTAGTTTCATTTCATAATTTATTTACATTATGTTGTTGGATTATCACGAGAGCCTAATAGAAGCTGATGTTAATTTTTAATTAGGGATGAGTCAGGAGATTATATGGGGACAATTCATTAGTGGATATTTTTATATAATGATAGACAGCTTTGTACCCCAGATAACAGATATTCATGTGAAATGGAGTATCTGTATTTATTGGAGTGCTAACTCAAATACTGTTGACTTATTTAGTGTACAGTTTAAAAAATAAGATCAGTTATTCACAATGTAGTAGAAGTATTAAGATTGCTGGTGTGGGGTCAGGGTGGAGATTAGTGGTCAGGTGACACTCCCTGATATTAAGGGAAGGGAACTAATTTGCTGTATAGTAATGCATATTGTAATTCTGTTTAACCAGTGGGAGAACCTATGTCTAGAGAAGCTAAGTAATTTGCTCAAAATAATAATACTGTTAACTCAGTTGTGTCTATCATATTCCAAAGTCTATATTCTTTTAAAATTACATTATACTGTCTTTCTGACAAAAAGTGTTAGACATCTGGAAACTATCTCCTCATCGGCGAAAGCAATTAATTTAGTCCAAAGGGATTATAGAATAAATGGTACTTGTATCAACTATTTATCAGACCTTAACAGTTGTAATAACTTACATGATGCTTGTTCACTTACAACACTTTTACATCAGAAATTTCATGTAATTTCTATAACAACCCTGTGAAGTAATCCTCATTTTACTAGTGAATTTAGACTTAAAATGTCAAAGGCGATTGTATAGAATTATGTCCCCACAACATGAGGGCCCAGATTTTTGTTTCTAGATCTTATGATTTTTCCATTATACTACACAGCTTCTTTGTAGAAAAACAGAAGTCCTACAAACATCCATTTTGTAGCAATAAGATAACCTCAAAACATTATCCTCTGTGATGTCTGCTGGACTAGTTTACTATATCCTATTTAAATGATGTATTTTAGTAATGTTTTAAAATTGTGATATGTTAGAACTACATACCTTAACATTAATTTCTGTGGATTTGGTAGCAGTGTCTGTCCTTTATTTCCTAATAGTTAATTTATTTTTAAGTGGATTGGTTTAAAATGGAAATCTATGTATAGTCTTAATTTTTTTTATCTGGTCTCTGTAGAAGCCGAAATCCACTAATCACCGTTCTTCAAAATGCAATGGAATGTATCAAGGTCTATATTCCGACTGGCACATAGGACATGCATGGAACCACACTGTCAAAACATAAAGGGACAATTACTTTTGTATAAAGCTGAATCCAGAGTAGTTTTGGTACAGGGCCCTCAAAAACAATGGCTGCACTTATCAGCTGTCCAATGTGTTGCAAAGGAAAAGAAGCCATTTACTGCTCATCCACCCCAACCGGGGGTCCTTCACCATCAACAGTGGGAGCAAGATATTTTATCCAAGAGGGTTATATCATCCAATGCCACATCCCCAGGAACTCCTTCGGAAAGAAAGGAAGAGCCTGATCCTTTACAAGACAAATCTATTAGTCTTTATCAGCGATTTAAGAAAACATTTAGACAATATGGAAAAGTTTTGATTCCAGTACATCTAATAACTTCTGGTGTTTGGTTTGGAACATTTTATTATGCAGCCATAAAGTAAGTTTTTGCTTGGTTGAGCACCTTTCCCTGTTTTATCAGAATGTTAATCTTCTTAATTGTACTAATGAAAGCCTTAAATAGTTTTAATGCTTTAATGTCTTTAACTGATGACTGTTTGTCATAGCTGTTTTTGATATTTTCTTAGCTAAATTTGTTTTGTGTGTATAACAGGCATTATACTAACATTTTAAATGGTATCATCTCATTTAATTCTCATAACTATATGAAGCAGGTAGTGTAATTATTCCCATTTTATTAATGAAATTAAACAATAGTAAGTCAAAATAACTTAGCTTTTCCCAAAATATTTTGGTGGCTTATTTCAGAGCCCGTGCTCTTATGCTCATCTGTCAGTGTAAGAGAGTTCAGAAATTTGGCAGCACCATGAGTTCTATACTTCTGTATTTCTTGAAGTTTTCATGAATATAAAAAATTACATATTATTTTGCCTTATGTATGATTTTGGTGGGAAGTTAATATGATATTTTTGCCAAAACCTGGCTAATACCTGTTGCAGATACAAAAATAAACAAATTGCAGACTTATGTTTTAGTGTTACCCACATCTGATAAATGTCAAGGTAAGTCTTTTGTTTTAATCAGAAGTTAATTTGTTGTATACTTAAAACTAAGAGTGTAGATCTTGTGTTAGGTGTTCTTACCACCACTAAAATAAACTTTTAAAAATAGTTAATTTGGTGGGCCTAGCCTGTAGGTATTGTAAAACACAAAATTTCTAAATGTGCTTTTCTTGTTAAATATAAATATTCTTCCTTTCTTTTAAGGTAAGTTATTTATGGTGTTTTAGGAGCAGGAGCACACATTGAAACAGATCTCAATGATTTCCAGTTTGTTTTTGCCACTAGTAACCAAAGCATTTTGATGCGTGTGTGCCTGTTCTTTGAACGTACTGTGTGGGCTTTTCTTGTAGTGGCCTGGGCTATAAGAGCTGAAGGAGCTCACCATCCTGAGGGCAATGAAATGGCCCGATGTTGTACACTACTTTGACATTTTAGTAAAATCTCCTATGGCTCTAGAATTATTCTTTCTAAAAGTCCACTGATATTCAATATTTGGTTTGATATTAAGGTATTAATAAAATATGTCATTTTGGGGACAAAGTTATTTTTTACAAACTAAAAGATACTGAAGACTACTTTTGGAAAACACAGGATTAGAGGTGTTTCTTTACAAAAGTTCTAAAAGGGTTTTTTACCTTGTGTAGTTGATGCTGTTCTGATTCTCTTTACATCTTTCTCTCCATTATCTTCCTAATATTCAATTATATCCTTCTTCATCATGTATTATTATCCTTTATAGAAGATACTTATATGTATACTTAATGGAATTATCTTTCTCATTAATGACATTTTTATGAACGTGTGTAATATTTATGGAAGTCTTCAAAACTGCCCTTGGTTTAAATCATGTACCATTTTGAATAAAAATTATTATAGGATTTAGCTGTATTTAATTAATGTGTACATATCAAATGTTCTTTTTTGAACTATTGAGGGTTTCCTGATGCAGTGCTCTGGAAAATGATATGAGTGATAGTTCTGTCCACCTTAGGTTGCCCTTTATAAGCATTTGGCCAGGAGGCCTTGGAGGGAGCAATTTATGTTTTTAATTAATTGAATATGAGGTCTCATTTGGACTGTTAAAAGGAGCACTTTTGTTCCTTTTCCTTTTCCTTACCTTCTTAAGTAAAAGAGTTCTATAACTGAAGAAGCAGACCCCAAGTAACCTAGTGATGTGAATAATTATGCTTAAGACTTTTTCAATGTTGTCTGGCACTCAGGTGGTTGTGGTGACATTCTGTTGTTCCCTGTGTGTGCATTATCTTCTCCCTCTTTTTCTGCAGAATGGTTTGTATATAAACGTGGTGGTAAGAATATCCACTTGAAAGTCATGTCCCTTTATCCATCACAATTTGCCTTTTGGCTGTTTGTCAGCATGGGACTGTGGTTGCCAGACCCACCACCACTGCACTGGTCCAGTTCTGTTCTACCATCACACAGTTAATTTCAATTTTGTAGGATGTGTTGCTTCCCAGAACAGTTCCTAATGTTTTTATTAAATCCTATGCCTTCAGAAAGTTGATTTCTTCTAAGTAACGATCTTATCACAGGTAATACTTACAAAATAAGGATTGAGGATATGTTCTAATGGCAGTGTATCTTTCACTGCGATGTGGTTTTATTACTAGATTGAAGTTGATTGTATTAAATATAGGTTTTCAATTCAACTGACGAGATTGGCTTTATTTTTTTTGTTGTAGCTGGGCAAATTCTCTGTTATTTGCTTATTACCTACTTAACTAGTAAGAGAAAGAGAAAAAATAGTTTGTAACTTGGAAGATGGGCATTTGACATCACACTGTGTTACTGACCAGTGTTTGTTTTAGTCACTCTGACTAGAATTATTACCGCTTTTCTAGACATCAGAGAACGAAATGCCATTCTGTATTTAGTTAACTCAGTGATAAAGATCTTAGACTTCTGAAACATTTTATTTCAGGGAGATCTAAATTGTATATGTTAATAGATTTTACTTTAAGCTTTGTTGTCTGTTCTATCTGGCAAACCTTGCAGAGATCTTACATCTTCCAACCAGAAATGCTCTCTGATCAAATGTAGCTTTGTGAGGATGGTTTTGTCCGTAGGGCATCATAGTGAGGTGCCTCGTGTTTTAGGCCTTAAGTCTCTAAAGTTACAGATCCATTCTGAGGCAAAATCCTGCCTAATTTTTACTGCATTTTATATGTACTGTGAATGTGTTTATGCCCTTGCGTATTTCTTCATCAATTGAAACATCCATAAAGCTGGCAGTTTGTGAAGCACAGATTTCTGTCAGACCATGGAAACTTCCAAGTAAAAAGTGACAAGTAGATATTACTATTTAAATCAGTCCCTCATTAGTATTTCATATACAGCAGTTCCAAAGAAAATGAGAGTTATTTTTATTCTTAAAATAATGAAATCATCAAATCAATATTTTAGAATTAAATAGAACCAAGTATTTACTTCTTAATTTTATAAAAGATACTTGTGCAAGGTGTCTGAGGTAATTATTGTTTGATCTTTATGATAGGTTTTTTTTTTTCATCACTCAATTTTGTCTGATTTTTGGCCAAATCTTTGTCTTTTTTCCCCCTTCATGGTTGCTATTAAATAGGGAGATTGTACATACTGGGCTAGGAAATGATTAATTAAATAATTTTATAACTGTATTGGTTCTAGAATATATAATTAGCATATTCTGGTGCATTGTGACTTGATTCGATCCACAGAATAGCTAAGTCCTTGTAGTACTAAGTCTTGCTTTAAGTGGGATTCTGTCATTATCTAAGAAAGAGATTTGAAAAGGAACTGATGGTGGAGAAAGAAGAAACCAGATTGGACTTAGAGTCGACTTCATAAAACTTTTTAAAGATACCTTCAGTTATCTGCTTTCCTCTTATAGATGATAGGTAATTTTCCTTGATGGTCAGCCATATGTTCTTGAGAGTAGTCCCTGATTTTGTAGTATTATAGTGAAGTCATAGAGGGATAACAACTTTCCCCCAATTAATTAATCTTCTTAAATATTTATCTTTGAGAGAGAGTGCAAACAAAGGGGCAGAGAAAGTGGGAGACAGAAGATCTGAAGCGGGCTCTGTGCGGACAGCAGACAGCCTGATGTGGGCCTCAAACTCAGGAACTTCGAGATCATGACCTGAGCCAAAGTTGGATGCTTAACCAACTGAACCACCCAGATGCCCCAAATTATTATTATTTAAAAAAAATTTTTTTTAATGTTTATTCATTTTTGAGAGCCAGAGAGACAGAATGAGAGCAGGGGAGGAGCAGAGAGAGAGAGAGAGGAAGACACAGAATCCAAAGCAGGCTCCAGGCTCTGAGCTGTCAGCACAGAGCCCAATGCGGGGCTCAAACCCACAAACCATGAGATCATGACCTGAGCTGAAGTTGGACACTTAACCGACTGAGCCATCCAGGTGCCCCCAAATTATTTTTTTAATATTAAGAATAAATTAGGATTTTGCTAGCTATTATATATTATACAGGATACAGCTATCCATGATAATAATGGATCTAGGCAATTCCCTTTCTTAATTACAAAAAGAAAGGATATCTATACAGTGGAACACACTGTGGAGCCTACCTTAACCAAGAGTCACAATACCAGCGATGGGACAAAGTGACATCATGTGGCTTCTGTTATGATGCACTGAGACAGACAGAATTAACTGTGCAGTTTTCCTGTTGAAAAATGTTTAACCTGAACCTGATCAAGAGGAAAAAATCAGACAAATCCAAATTGAGGGATATTCTCCCATGCAACAGGCCTGGATGCTTCAAAAATCTCAGTGTCAAAAACTATCCTGCTGTCTTCAACAAAAAGTTCTGGGGAGTACTTCTAGAGAAAAGGAGACCAGAGAGAAATGACAAGATAGTGATTTAAAGGACATGCTGGGACAATTCAGGAAATTTTAATATTAAATAATATATTGTGTATCATTATATACTCATGTTATATGTTACATTTCCTGAATGTGATAATTATGTGCATGTAGGAAAGCACAGAACAAGAACCTTGTTCTGATTTAGGAGTCAAGGGTCACAATGTCTGTAAAACAACACACAGTGATAGAGCAAGAGTGTGAAAGAGCACACACCAGTATGCGAAATGTTGATAATCAGGGAAACTAAAAATAAATTAGAGCTTAACAGTTCATATTAGAGACTTTGCCTGCTGTCCCTCCCTCCAAAAATGTGTTGCAATTTATGGTAATTGCTTCTTCACCTGCCTTTTAAGCCTGCTAATAGAATAGAGGCATCCTTTTAGAATACCCATAGAATTATTTCTTCTTTGCATAATAACGCAAGTGATACTGTAGTATTGCTTTTACAATAATAGTATAACCTGACATAAAATTTTAGAGGTGAAAAGCTTAGGTCTTGAAGTTTGAATTGGAGCTTTCTGAGAAAGTGGTATTTGATTGAGGAAACTAAGACCAGGTAAATAATTCTGGTCCTTTATTTCCTTTTAGATCACATAAAGCAATTAATTTAACTCAGCTAGATCCTTCTATTTTTTTTTTTAATGTGGTAATTAGGGATGACCATGTGCAGAAGCAAAGCAGAAGCCGCAAACAGATACAGTACAACACCGATGTTCTGTACGTGTTCTTATAGAGTGAAATCACAGTGCTTGATAATGCAGAAGTGACTTTTAAACAAAATTTGGTTTTGGTGTTTTCAGAAAATTTTTTGAAAATATTTATCCCTTTAAGTTTGTGTGTACATATATCTAAATTACTTTGTTTCTTTCTTAGAGGAGTGAATGTCGTTCCTTTTCTAGAACTCATTGGGTTACCTGACAGTGTAGTAAACATTCTGAAAAATTCCCAGAGTGGAAATGCCCTAACAGCATATGCCTTGTTTAAGGTAAGTACAGTTGTAAATCAGTTGCTCTTCACACTTAACTAATGACCTGCTCAGTTCCTCATAAAACTCCATATTAGTTCTTTTGTAACTTAAAATACCAAATTTCATGTATGTCTAATGGCTACAGTTTAAAATGTTTTTTAAGTTTCAAAATTTTAAGTATGGAGCGCCTGGGTGGCTCAGTCAGTTGAGTGTCTGACCAGCTCAGGTCATGATCTCACAGTTCGTGAGTTCAAGCCCTGTGTTGGGCTCTGTGCTGACAGCTCAGAGTCTGGAGCCTGCTTCAGATTCTGTGTCTACCTCTCTCTCTGCTCTTCTCCTGCTCACATGCTGTCTGTCTCTCTCAAAAATAAATAAAGATTAAAAAAATTTTTTTAATTAAAAATAAAAATTTTAAGTATAAATAAAATGATGGTTTAGGAAGAAGTGCCTTGAAAATAGGTAGATCATTCCTAACCTGTTGTGATCACACAAATGTGAAACAAATTTCCAGAAGTCATCTTTTTGACATTTCTCCCACTTACAGTATATTAATTTTCCTTATTCAGAGATCCACATGCCACCTGATTTTTAGTGATATTTAGCATTTATTTTTACAGTTTATAATAGTTCTTCTTAATAAGTAAAATAATAAAGTTTAGTTCAAATTGTTTTATGGGATAAACCTAGACTTAGTAGCATTACATATATTTTATTTTAGAAGTTTATAGTTTTTAATACCTGTTCTCTGGATTTGAGACAATGACATCTTTATAAATAGAGTTTCTATATCTATTGGTCTTTATTTTAGAAAAGGAGATTCATTGTGAATTGTGGAAATTAGCCATATTAATCTAATTTTTCTCAGTTGACAGTTAAGAAGTTCTATATGTCTTCATTCTAAGAAAGAAAACAAGTAGAAAACATTTGGAAACTAGATGTTACTTTAATTCTGTTGTATAAAAATGCTTAGAATTATGGTTTTATAGTAGTATAAGTATCATTGTTTTGTTCTGTCATCTTCATTAAAATCCTCTGAAATCTTGGGAGATTTCCTTTTTTATTGTAATTTTGACCAGAGGTCTAACATTTAATTGCTGAGTTTTTCAACATTGAAACTTATTAAATTCATAAATTATCAAGTTTCTAGTTATAATGGGTATGATTATTATTTCCTTAATTATAATAGCTCCTTATCCTGTGCTCCCATATTATGTGTGTTCATATCCTGGTCTGGTGTTAGGGTTTTTTTGTTTTTGTTTTTTTAATGTTTGGTTTCTCTATTTGATTTTAAGAGCCTAGAATGGGAATTCAGAGTCATTTCTTCTTTCTCTTTGTTTTCGCTATGCCTGGTATTGTGCTTTGTTGGCACATTAGTGCTCAGTACGTGTTTGTAGATTGGGATTTGAAACATGAACTTGTACATGTAGTTAGGTTAGTATCAGCAGTGTTTCTTCCCTCTCACTGTCCCTCTGAGGTAGGAAACGTGCAGGGGATTCTCCTGGGTATTTTCTGTAACCCACAGTTTCTCAGGTGGAGTAACAAAGACTGAGATTTATTGCTTCAATAAGGCAAAGCCCCTTTCAAAAAGAGGTGTGGCAAAGAGGAGAAAAACAACCTGTGTGTGACCTTCTGGTACTGACTGTGACACACTCCTCAGCCCGCTAGCACTGTCCTGAAAGTGCACCTTTGTTTGAATTGACAAAAATTTGTTGAGCCCCTACTGTGTGCCAAGTGCCATTCTAGGTACTGGGAATAACTAATTCAATAAAATGGCACAAAGTACATGCCCTCATGGAACTTACATTCTAATAGTGGGTGGCGGTTAAGCAAAGAAAGTAAAGTTCACACACACACACACACACGGTGTTTAGATGATGGTAAATGCTCAGAAGAGAGAACAAACCAGCAAGAGAGGATGTGTTTGTGTTCGGGGTTTGTTTCTGGTTTTTGGTTTTGTTTTTGTTTTTTTCAGAGGGATGGTTGCCAGAAGGTGAGGGAGTTAATCAGGCAGTTGTATGGGAGAAGAGCATTCAAGGAGGAGAAAGCCAAGTGCAAAGTCCTGAGGCTGCAGGATACCTGGCGTATTTGAAGGAATAGGGAGGAAGCCAGTGTGGCTGGGATGAGTGAACAGTAGAGAGGCAACAGAGGCCTTACAGGCCACTCTGGCTTTTACTCAGAGGAGATGGGAAGTCACTGGGCAATTTTGAGCATCTGACTTGTGTTTTAACAAAATCATTTTGGCTGCTGTATTGTCTGTATATATAGCAGGGCAAGTGCAGAAGCCCAGAGACCTAGCAAAGGAGGGTTTATTGCAGTGGTGTGTGCAAGAGCTGATAGAGGCTAGGACCCAGGTGGTAGCAGAAGAGGCACTAAGTAGTAGGTGGATTCTAGATATGTTTTGAAGGTGGAGCTGATGGAATTTTTTAATGGTTGAATGTAAATTATGCAAGAGAAAGGAGTCGAAGCTGTCTTACAGATGTTTGGCCTGAGCAACGTAAGAATAGAGTTGCCATTTTCTGAGATGCAGACAGCTTTAAGAGGAGCAGGTTTGGGGTGGGACCATTGAACACCATGAGATCAGTTTTGAATAAATGATATTTTGAGATCCTATTAGACGTGCAGGCAGAAATGAGTAGGAGGTTGTATATACTGGAATTTAGGGAAAAGGCTCGGTCTGGAAATCTAAGAATCATTAATGTATAGATGGCACTACAGACATGAAACTGGAAAAGACTGCCAAGGGAGTGAGCGAGGCAGAGAAAAGGAGTGCAGGGACTGAATGCTGCCCCATAGTGCTCAGAGGTAGGCAACAGGAGGAGGAATGGACAGGTAGGACTGGAAAGTTGCAGCCTCTGAAGCTGAAGGAAACCAGGGAAGTGAGGGCATGGCAGCCAGTTGAGGGCATGCTCCAAGGAGTAGATGGGGGCAGGGGGCTATCTCCATTGGCTCTAATGGTTCACAGGCCTCTATAGTGACTATGATGAGAGGTGGAGGGTGAACGCTCGGTTAGAGTAAGTTCAAGAGAGAATGAAAAGGGAAGTTGGAGGTAGAGAACAGAGGTGGCTCCTTCAAAGAGTTTTGGTACTGAATTTTGACACGGAAGCCTCAGAATGTGATATAGACTCTCTCCACTTTTGTGTTGCTCTTTGACCAGTTTGTCTGCTTTTTAGCTTTAGTCCTTAAATCTCTGGTCAGAGTTAAACCTGTGTGTGTCTGCAACATATGTACCAACTACTTTTTTTGGCTTCCTGGAAGTTCCCAGTTGGGATTCCAGACCCAGGGTGGGTTGTAATGAGAAAGTAGCATAAGGCCTGGAAAAGTCAAAGGGATTTGGAAGTGAAACTAAACTAAATTCAGTAAAGAATAAACATTTGGCTCATGTTAGCCTCTCGCCCATTTGAAGTAGTTTGGTTCTGGTTTAGTTCTAGATGCACAGTCTATAGATTGGCAGGGTTTTTAAGGAACAGAAGCATTTGCATGTTTGTTGTTCGTAGTGGTCCTGAGCCATCTTTCTCATTTCCCAATGAGCATGTCCCCACATTCACTAGCACATGGTTATAGGCCCCAGTGCTTCTATTGCAAATACTCTGTAATCCTTGGGGCGCAGTTGGTTAAGTGTCTGACTTTGGCTCAGGTCATGATCTTGTGGTTCGTGGGCTTGAGCCTTGTGTCAGGCTCTGTGCTGACAGCTCAGAGCCTGGAGCCTGCTTCAGATTCTGTGTTTCCCTCTCTCTCTCTGCCCCTTACCTGCTCATACTCTGTCTATCAAAAATTAAAAAAATAAACATTAAAAAAAATATTCTGTAATCTCTGGGTCAGTGCCTAAGTGACAGATATTTGTGAAATGCATTTACAGAAGAAGCATCCCTTGTTAGGAGGGTAAACCATGTGGGCTGTAACTATGTTGGCCTGATCAAGCAATAAAGTAATTTATGCTGTTTGGCTATTACTAAGAATTTTAATTTCAAATTGTTTTTGCTTAAGACGATAATCATGATTGGCTGTTGATCTGCCTGTATTTTCTCCTCAGATCGCAACACCTGCCCGATATACCGTGACTTTGGGAGGAACCTCCTTTACTGTGAAGTATTTGCGTAGTCGGGGCTACATGTCAACACCACCTCCTGTTAAGGAGTATCTGCAGGACAGGATGGAAGAGACCAAGGAGCTTCTCACAGAGAAAATGGAAGAAACAAAGGATAGACTCACTGAAAAATTACAGGAAACCAAAGAAAAAGTTTCTTTTAAGAAAAAAGTGGAATAGGGTGCCTTATATAACAAGTGACAGACAATTTCTGCACTTTAACCCTTTGGAGACTGTGCAAAGATACATGTTCCTGATTATTTTTTTGATTAGCTGCCAAAATATACCAGTTCTCTGAGGGTTAAAGACCTAAGATACCTTTTTAAGGTTAAATATTACTAAAAAAATCAGTGTTCTTTTGGGAAAAAAAAAATGAACCCAGGTTAGAATGAACATCAATACCATTAAGCAGTGGTTAATGTCTAATAAGTCAGATCTCTTTTTCAGGGTCTTCAGAATCATATTTGCTTTGTGTTTTGTTGCAACTATAATATATGCAATTGGGGCAGTTGACTCCTTGAATACCTGATGTGGCCCTAGACAGGATGTTAACACTGGGTTTTCATCTTTATGTTATACATTGAGCTTTTAACTATATTCATTTCTCAATGTGGAGACAAAACTATTATCAAAACTGCTAGTGAATAAGAGGATGTTTAGTGTTTCTGTAAACACAGTATATAACATTTACACACCAGTTAAAATATACACTTAATATGAAGGAAGTTGAATAAAAATGGAGTCATACATGTGTAAATAAGATGTATTGGTTATATGTAAATGAAAAATTGAACCTTTGAAAATGATTTTTACCTGAAGCTTGTCATAATCAAATTTTTTAAAACAAATACATATGGCCATATACACACCTAGAGCATAAATCTCTACTGTGAGTCATTTGTGTTCTCAACTTTCAGAGGAAAAGTGAAAATAATACTACCTTAAGTTTATTGTTGAAATCAAATATTCTTAAGCCATGACTCAAGTTTGTGGTTCTCAAGCAGATACAGGTGTGGGAGGAAGGAAAGTGCCATTAGGTTGTCCCAGAGCTGAGTCACTCCCCCTGCCACGTGGCAGGCCTTTGTCTCCACAGGCCAACACTCTCTCCGTGTCTTTGTTTCAGAGTTCATGTTCGTTTCATTGTGGAGTAAATTTTTAAATTGTAGCTGCTTTTTCCCTTTTAGTGAAATATCCTTTTTTCCTTATATTGAAATATGCTTGAACATTTTACTTGAAAATTGTTTTAATAGCAAAGCTATCATTAAATTAATCTGTTTGGAATGAAATTCAGCCATTGTCAGGAGAGTTGCCCTGATTGAGTGCATTTGAGGATGTGTGTGTCTGTTTCCTTTTGCTCTAACTGCTTTTACTTAAACTCTAACCCTTGAGTTGATATTCAGAACCTCTTTCTAGACCATCATTGTTTTGAGTGATATGATAAGGCAAGAGAATGTCAAAGGGATTACAAGAAACAATCCTGTGGGGATCACTGCTATGGGGCAGGATTTATGTATTAAATATTTAGTTTGGCCAAATTTGGAGAATAAGTTAAAGGAAAAAAGGCTTACATATGATACATCTAATCATTGTATTGGAACATTTTGTAAGTTAATATGCTGTGTTTAGAATCTTTCCTTTTTTGTGGGGGAGGCAGGGTGGAGCAGCGAGGGAGCCACTGTTGCTCTACCACACACACTTTTATTTGCAGAACAGTTTGGTCTCCTGATACACAATGGAACCCATGATTTCAGATTGACAGCACATATTCAAATCTAAACACAGTTTACATGTTTTAGCTTGCTAATTAATCATATTTTGAAGATATTAAATGCTATTAACAAATTTCTTATTTTTTTTAACCACTTGAGACTATGCCTGTGTTTTAAAATCTTATATGAAACTTTTCTAAAACAAACTACTTTTATTTTTCACATTGCACAGGGCATATTTTCCAATAGGGGTAAATTTGGGGTTCTTAGAAGTCAATAATCCTAAGACTAAGATTTGCTTTTCCTGACTATCCACTTTTTGTTCAATCCATTTGAATTTTGTTGCCCTCCAGTTTCATTATTGTGTTTATCCAATTATAGAAAGTGAGATACTGATGAGTACTTTGAAATTGTTTAGTAAAATATTATATGAAATATGAGTTTTTTTGTCATTATTTATCATCAGGAATATTTGTATCCTATCAAATGCTGTTGCTACCATATTGCTAACCTAGTCTTTAAGGGAAGCTACAAATAGCTTAAAAGGGGATACTTGTAAATGTTTGGAATATTAATAGCACGGTAACAGAATATAGTAATGTGCATCAAGTTAAATAAATTACTGATATATATATATATACACACGTGTGTGTGTGTGTGCATACACAGTAAATGTGTACAGTTTGTTATACATAGTAAACTCCATTTCATTTACAGTCAACTTTGTACTTTGGATTAATTTGCCCCTACTTTCTGTGAGCAGTGAGGCAGAGCAGCACCCCAAGTCTGATATGCATATCTGTCTTTAAGATATGTTGACAGGATAAAGAGGGAGCTATGACTGAGATTTAACTTACATACTTTATATATAAAGTGGATGAAAAGGGTTTGCTCAGCAAATTAACAAAGGACATGAAAAATAGGTCAGGCAAGAGACTTAGTTTTTTCAAGAATAATAGCAAAACCAGCCTTTTAAAGTACCAAAAATATCTTTTACTGAAACAACCTTTTGCATACAACAGTGTACTGTTTAGATTTCAATGAAGTAGAGAAAGAATGCATATATTGAGATTACCTTTCTCCCAGTAGTGAACGTAATAAAATTATGCCTTCAAATGTAATCTTTGATTTATTTTTTTGTTACAGAATATACCCCCATTTATTTACAAATAAAAGACCCCACTGTAGTCTTTATGCTCCAGGATGAAATGGAGCTATAGGCTGTCCTACTTCAGTGATCTTAGAAGGTAATTGCAGGAATTTGAAAGATCTTAATAGTTTGGGCTGAAGGTGTCTTGGGAGGAAAGAAGCAAGTATTAGACACATCTAGCTTTATCCTGTCTTCTTTCCACTGGGTTCAGGCCAAGCCTCAGGATTTCTTAATCCATTCAGGCATTATAAACAAGGCCACTGTATGGTAGAATATGGGGATGATGATGAAATGGACAGGAAGTGATTTTAACAAATGAGGCAGAAAAAGCGAGTGCATCTTGCCTGATGTTTTTGAAATCTCATTTTTGTAAAATGTATTTGTGAGATACACATTTCTGAAAAATACTTTTTTTCATGATAATATAGACACATTTCTTCTGTTGGCTACAGTTCATCTTTTGAAATGGGAATCTTCATTTATTTGAGACTTTCAAAATTGGGTCTCTATAGGGCCTAAGGTAAAACAGATTAAATGTTACCAAAGTTAGTTTGAAATATTTGGCTGTATTAAAAGCTTACTACATTGACTTTATCCATGCCACAGTCAAAATGCATCAAATCATATTGGCCTAGTGCTGAAGTAGCACAGGAGCTTTCAAATAGAGTATGAGCCTCTCTGCTGCCTTGGAATTGAACAACTTGAACCAGAAATCTATAGAATTAGAGGTGGGTACTTTTAATTATTCACTGCAAATATGACCTTTGTCCAGTCTCTATTGTCCATCTGTATGTCCTGTAGTATCAAGATAGCATTCAATGAGATTCCACAAGATTCTGCCGCACGTACCTAAAGGTACAGCAGAGTCCAGACTTCATCCTTCTCCCTTAGAGACTTGAATGGCCTAGGGGTCCCACTCCTTTCCAGAACCTATCTTCAGCCATGAGTTTTGGCCTAGCCTTTTGATTCTTGAAAGATCCTCCTACAGTTTGAACTTGTAACTTATATTTGAGAAAAGCTGAGTCAGGCCAATTGGATATATTTTTCCCTCTGTGAGATTTTTCTTTTGTGACTTCTGTGTCACGTTGGTTCATTTTAACTAGTCAAAACAAGTTTTTGATTGTCATGCTTCTTCAGGGTTAGGCTTTGAAAATCAAGCTGTATTCTTCCCTATGCATCATTGACAATCACCAACAATAATAATTACAGATCATAATTATCTTGTGGCAATTATCTGGCTATTTTGATAAGTATGATCTTCTTAGTAGAAAGAATGCATCTTGATTTCAGAAACCTTCAGGGCAGAATATAATGTTGAGCCTGATCTTTATTCTGATGGCTTGATTGGACAGCCATGATGGGGAAGTGCACAGGCAGCCAAAGAGTCATTCTCAGAGCATGTAGTTTCTCTTCACAGATGGGAGTACTCACGGAGAATAAGACAAAAGAGCGCTTTTCACATTGTGTTTTCTCTGGAACAGCATGGTCTATGAGGGCAGAAGTTACAGGACTGTTAAAAGATGTTCCACATGCTGCCAGAATGTGTCTTCATTCTTCCTGAAAGTGTGGATTGCGTAGAGCTTTCTTTCTTCTTTCCTTCCCTCTCCCTCTGTCCAGCTTTTTATGTTTTCAGTTTTGATCAGTTTAAATGTTAGAAAACTCTCTTTGAAGTGAAAAAGGAAACAGCAAGTGTGCACATGATCTTGCCTGATTTTCCATGCGGTGAAGGCCAGTTTTCCCTGTCTGTCTCTAGTGGGCAGGTCCACATGGCCCAGGCTTCAGGAAGATTGGGACAGTAAACTTCCAGTTCCCTGACTTTTTAATCAAATACATGGTGAAAGCCTTTTACTCTATTTTGATAATTCCTTAAATGTTACTCTAAGCATGTGACATAGGAAATTATGGCAAATCTCTATCTTCCCTTTTGCCAATTAGATGTTTTAGCTCCTTAAATTACATTTTTTAAAGAATCATATAGCATTTTCTCAATGTTCACAAATATTTTAGCTATTACTTTTTATGAACCTCTAAGTAGTAGATTTGAAATTCTATAATGATTGAAGCATGTTTTAATTAATTTGCATTTTATTGAATATGAGTCAGTATTTTCTTTGGATGCTTAATGTGGTGACTTAATTGTCATCATTGCTTTTACTTTCCTAAGAATAGTGGCTGCTTTTGTTCTCCCTTATGCAAAGGGTGCTAAAAGCGAGGTCTGTGAAGTCTTCAAATACCCATGGCTCTGACTGCCCTTCAGTTACCTCTGGAGATAGAATTACAGGGCTTGGTTGCCATGGTGTTCCATCAACACGCACTTTTTT